AGAGATGAACACATTTACAAATTTGCCAAAGCTAACTCACTCGCGTCCTAATGCGGTGGACAATAGTAATTCACTCCACATAAGCATGTAATCACGTAAACACATATGAATTTCATTCCCGGATAATGACCGTCCTGCGACGTTGCCAGAGTTCCAATTAGAAACAACGCTGATCAAGTGCTCTTCTAATGGGACTTCTAGAAACCTGTAGACTCAATCAGTATCCTAAAAATTAGATCTCATACCCATATAATCAAATCAACATGTTATCACAAAACATTATAAACATACAAACATCTCTATCAAGCAAGATAAACCCATTGTGGCACAAACCACTTCCCACGTACCCAAAGTATTCAGACCCGGTACACTCTGATACCAAGTTGTCATGCCCTGAAATAAATGCCATAAATCGCCCCCTAACAACATATACACAATGACATAAACAAAGCAGTAATCTTTCATTAATTAGAGTTAATTTACAAAAAGGGACACATGCGATATACATTCATAAGCTCTACCCTGAATCTATACCATGTGATACCAACTCAATGATCAATAAAATAAATGCCCTACAGGCTTATATCTTTTCAAGACTATTCTTGGTTACAACAAAAGAGAGAGTCTTAAACTTCATACATATAAAGCCCTAGGCTTGTACAAATATTAAATACAAAATGACAAAAGAAAGCCTTCAGCTCCCAGGTCCTCCCAAGCTAAGTCCTTAGAGGAGGCATGTCACCAGTACCTGAAAATAGTTTTCTAAGTAGGGTGAGCCAAAGCCCAGTAGAAACAATCTAACACAATATATGAATATTAACACAGATATAAGTAAGATGCACATGCTCAATTCCCAAATGACAAATCTTTTACAACCTTTTCCAAAACTATGTTATGTCAAACTTACATCTCAAACCACTAGTTATACCCACGTCATTTAGTCAACCAAACCGAGGATACACCTCGTAGGCCACCAACCAACATAATTATCATATGAAATACATTCACTTGCCATTTTAGGGAAATTTTGTCAGAGGGAATCGGCACCCATGTATACGCCCGCTTTTCCGGACCCTGGACACACAAGCCAGCTTAGTTTAATGGAGTCCATCCCCTTTCTTCTCCCAAACATCATACATGTACAATGTATATAAATCATAATCATATTCAATGATAATGGCTTAGAGATTTATTTCAATTTGCCTAATCCACATGTAATTTCTACATCAATCCTGGCTATCCTCCACCGATAGCCTAAAATAGATATTTTTAAACAGATATACAATCTTTATAGCAGATAAATTGTCCAAAGTTCCATAGAAGCGATATAATACATGTCTAATTCCACCATTTATATAAACCTCCATCCAATTTCATATTCCTAATGCCAATTTCATATTCCCAATACCAATTTCATTATTTATACAAAATAATGATTCAAGACATTTTAAGGCAAAACCCCATTTTTTCCAATCCCGTTCCAAGCACCAAAATCAACCATTTTAACACAACACAATCTCGTATCTACTCTCATAACCTTTTCCAATATGTTAATTCAAAAATCTCTCTTTTGATTTTAACCTAAACCCTAGGTTTGTTCGAATTCATAACAAGTCTCAACATTTCTTACCTATCAACAAATAACCAAGTTAAAACTCATAGAAGAGTGTAGAAAGTCCCTACCTCAAAGTTAGAAGACGGGCAAAGCCAAGGTAAAACTTTAAAGACACCGAAACCCACTTTTGTTCGGATGAAAAGAAAGCCCACGACATGCTCTATCTTTTTAACAAAGGCACAAGGGTGGAGAAATCACTAGATCTAGATGAAAAAGTAGAGAAAAGGTAAGTTTTAGAGAGAGAGGGTCTCAACTTTAGGGTTTGGAGAGAAACAGATCTAAAAAAGTGATGTAAAATGACTTTTTACTAATTGATATACGCACAGTTCGCTTGAGCGCATGAGTTGACGCTCGAGTATCAGACACAATAAGTTGTTCCGCTCGATTGCAAGAGATGACGCTCAAGCGTAGAATACACACATCCAGTAGTTTTGCAGACAGAAAAACATTGCTTGAGCTTAAGAATGGCCGCTCGAGCGCACACCCACTCGAGCATAGGAAACACCGCTCGAGCGTAGAATACATTCTCCTAGTAATTTTGCAGACCTGCAAAAGTATTGAGAGTTTGCAAAGCTCGCTCAAGCAAAAGAACAAAATTCTAGGCAACAAAAGTTGGGAAACCAAACAACCAACCTGTCCCAAACACAACCACAATAATCCAATAGCCAAGTTTAAGGGAAAAGAAGATAAGAAGACATATTCAACAGTACAAAACCAAGAAACCAAAGTCCAGAATACAACAAAGGTCGGGTCAAAATCAGAATCGCTATAGCTAGCATATCTTGGGTGATGTGTTGAGTCTCTTAACCCCCTACCATCTTTTTGCATCTTCACGGCTTTCCCCTCGGGTCATTATAGTCAAGGCATGAGGAAAAGGGTACCTTAGAGTCACTAACCAGGCTATCCTTATTTTCTCCATGCGTCTCCGGCTAGGTTTCCATACTTTTTAGCGTGAAAGCCGCTAGTGAGTGTGCAAAAGAAAGTAAGAACAAAAAAATTATTCATTGACTGAAGGGGAGTTTCCGCCTTTACTTACTAAATAATTCTTGCTCACTAGAGGTTTGACTTTTCCCAGTTATTCGCATATTCTCTTGTTAGAGATCTAGCCATCAGATCACTACTAGGATTTGAATCTAGTGTTTGATGAACTCTAAGAGCCACACACACACTTTTATCATGGGATCTATGCTTTTTACATATTGCATCACATTCTTTCATTAGGAATCTTCTAGAGGTTGTGCATATTGTGTTTTCAAGTAATGTGTTTCTTGGATATTCTTGTGTGTTTTAAGGTACAAATATGTAATTCTTTACTTGCTCCACCATATAGTTTTTTTTCTTTTCCTTTTTGTTCATTATTTTTGGTGCTTGTAGTTGCTTTTATTGAGGGGGAGTTTGGTTAATCATTGCAGGGGAGTTCTTTTAGCATGGACTTACATTGATTGGTTTTGTAAGGAAGATTGGTGTTAGATGGTTTGCATGTTGCTATGCACTGCTAATTTATTGCTTATTTCTCGCATGCTATTGTTTATTATATTATCTTGTCCTTACTTGTGTGGTTTATGCTCTTACTTTAGTTAATTGAGCTTCCTTTGACAATTCATGACAAAAAAAGAGACAATTTTGAATTTAGAGAGGGAGTTATTATTATTATTATTATTATTATTATTATTATTATTATTATTATTATTTGTGTGTTGGACATGCGCTTAAAATTTCCATCTATTCATGCTTCAAGATAATCTTGTCATATGCATGTTGCTTTCATATACTCTTGTGGCACTAATCACTGTTTATGACCTTAAGAAAGAAGTTTTTTTTTTTGTTGGTTGTAGGGTGTTTAGGATTTTCTTTGTTAGGTGTGTTTTGTCACGAAATTGCCAAAGGAAAAGATTGTTAGGTTTTTATAATTGGCAATCCTGTTTGAAAAAATTCTTTTTAGTTGTAATTTTATTCACTTTTTTCCTTTTAGTGAGAATGTGAGTGTTTAGATGCGAATCTAACCTGAATTGTGCCTATACACAGGAGTTTGTGATCTTAAGGCATTCATGTTTACCATTTCGCTAATAATATATGGGGATCAAGCAGCTCAGTCAGCTCGTGGGGTCCTGGGGGCAACGCCTCATTGCGGGTCTATGGTAGTGCCTAGGCGTGGTCGAGGGGCAGCACCCCCGAAGCCAAAGTTGTTTGACCGCTCGAGCGGTCATTTGTGCGCTCGAGCGGTGAATGGCATCATTTAGTATTTTCGTAAAGCAGACTGAACTTCTAAGAAAATCCTTCATGCACTCGAGTAGTGGAGTCTTGGCTTGAGCGATGGGCATGCATTTTAGTCAGTTCACTCGAGTAATGAAGTGGTCGTTTGAGCAGTCTTCATAGCTCTGTTTTCTATAACGTGCATCGTTCACTGTTTTTAAGGTTTAGGTCGTCCAAATTCTGGAAGAGCAAAGCTACCGAGGTTTTCTTATTGGAGGGTATTTTTCTGAGTGTTTCCTTGATGATTTGAGATTATCAATGGATTTATGAACTTCATATTCACATCATCAAGGGATTTGTTTGTTTGTTTTTATTCATAAAAGAGAGTGTTGTTCTTCAGTGGATTCAGGGGAATTTGGGCCTGAAGCTTTGTTTTTATCGTCATGGATTCGACATCAGCACTGTGGATTCAATGTTGGGTGCCATTCCAAAGTGAAGACGGTAGTGAAAGAGGCATATTGGGGTTGGTTCAATTCGGGCGTGGATTTGCTAAGTAATTTAGAGTACTCTTGTGTTATTCCTGTTTTTGTCTTCTTTGTGAATTGTTTTGTGGCTTTGGTCCATGGCTTTTTATCACAATTGAAGGTGCTTCAATTGTGGTTTTTTTTTACGTTAAATCATTGTGTTGATTTGCTTTTGATTGTTTGATTGGAATTGTTATTTATTGTTTAAAATTGATACATAGTCACAAATTAATATCTCAAGGACTTTAGATTTTTCAGATGTAATCACTATAACAAAAAACATTTTTGGCGACATTTTTTGGCAACTAAAATAGAAATTAGTTGCCAAATGTACATAATTGGCGACCATATATTTTTTGGTCACAAAAACTATATTATTGGTGACAAATTAAAAATTTGGAGGTTGTTGAGTTTGGCGCCAAGTGAAATTTATGGACGGGAGCTAAGAAATTTTTTTTGTGACTACAGCGACGAAAAGTTTAGTCGCCAAATGTATTGTTTTTGGCGACATCCATTGCTTAGTCACAGAAAATATAAATGAAATTTATGGCGACTTAATTAATTTAGTCGCCAATAATTAATTTCTCAAAACTATGCCGTTTTGTATGTCCTAATTTTTAATTGCCCGGAATAGTTGGTTGTGAATAAAGAGGTAATTGACCCTTGAACTCCATCTCATTTGCTTCGCTCAAGACCTCAAACAACAAAAGGTATGTCTTCTCTTCTTCTTTTCTCTCTCTCTCTCTCTCTCTCCCTCTCGCTCTATTTCACCGTCGACTACAAAGAGAGTGCCGCTGACTACACTCTCTAGAAATGGTGCTGGCTCTTTGTCTCTTGCACAGTTGATCGCGAGCAACGCTGATCGTGAGCCTCTCTGTGGTCGCTGTCATATGCCCTCTCTTTGTCGTTTTTCATATTTGTTGGAGAATACCATAGAAAATCTGGAGTAGACCATAGAAAATTTAGTGGTATTCAAGATAACATATCAGTAAAGAGAATGAGTAGGCCATAGAAAATCTGGAGTAGACCATATGTCCTCTCCTTGTTTTTGAGCCAACATTGTCTTCGATTTTCTCTAAATTATGTGTCTAATTTCAGGCAGATCTAAAGATTTCAGTTTGTGTTGAATCTTTCTCTCTCTTCTCTCTCACTGAAAGATACCTAAAAGCCTCCTCCTTTGTCTCTCATTCATAAGGTAATATTGATTTAATTCTTTTTTAATTTTTTCAATTTACTTTGTTATTGCAAGCTTAGATCTTTCATTCCCACTATTGATTGATATGTATATTTATGTGAATATCACTGGATGGTGCTTTCATAGTCATATATATATATATATATAATAAATAAATAAAAGGTGGCCTACTATGATTTCTTGGCACTATCTCTACACATGTGCACCGAATGGCTAAAGTTGAATTTATTTAATATTCTTTGAAAAGCTAAAGTTGATTCATATAATTTGGTCATTGAAGATGGAATTGTAATATAGATTTCATACCATGTTTTATGTATTTAGGAGCTTAATTTATGGGTTTTAATTTATTTTGATTTCTAATTTAGCTTCTTGATTTTTAATGAATAATTCTATGTATACTAATAATCTTACTAAAATTATAAATGATCAAAAAATAATGCTTTTTTAAAATGGTCATATGAGAATGATGGTTTTTTTTTTTTTTTTTTTTTTTTTTTTGTGTGTGTGTGTGTGTAATTTTTTGTTTTTTTGTTTTTAGGGAAAGTGAGGGGTTGTGGGCCATTATTTGTCCCATTGTCATGCCAGCAATTCCAGTGTCATATGATGTAATGGTCCTACAGAGAACAAACAAAATTAGAAGGAAAAGTGTAAATCAAGTATAATGTAGCGGGTAAAAATTTCTAATCATACCTTAGGTGATAGAACCTGCAGCGAAGAACCTTGTGGGTAAATCACGTGCTTCACAAACCACGAACAACGAACACCCAACAGTGAAGTGATACCACAATATGAGTATCACCTACACAAGTCACAGTGCAAAAAGCTTGATCGTTATTTTAATGGGAGAGAGTCAATATGGGAAAAATCATTCGTTATTCGATATATCCCATATAACGTATCAGATATATAGGCTGAGTATATCATCTATCCATATCAGTTGATATGATAGATATAAATATCAAGAGTGGGTTATCTAAATAGGTCTTGAATTCAAATTCAAACTTACATGGATAAGGTTCAAAAGGGTCATGAGTCATGCCACATGGGTGCCCAATTTCTAACATCTCCCACTCGCACATGAGTTGGCATGGCACTGCAACATCTCTTTCTCAATCTTCCCCCAAAAAATGAACAATCTCACACTAGCCAATGAACCGTGCGACCGCTGAGAACACCTGTATGCGGGAGCTCTATACTAGAAACTCAATATGAGTCAGCATAGAGACATCAACCTAGAATGAACAAAAATAGTGTCTCATGTACCTATACACATCTAGCTACATTCGTCCAAAAATATCTCTAATCCCTCAAAGAGCATGTTAGACCCTCCTAGGTCCCGCATTATATTCACACCCAATCATCATCCCATAGAGAGCGATGTGAGTTGTCGACGGTGAATATAGAGCAGAGATGTAGAACTAGATGATCTTCCCTTCACCCTCATATCATTTAATTCAAAATTGACCGCTTTTCCAGTAATGTCCCTTAAAGCCGAATCATACATGACCACATGCAACATACCAAAGTAGCTGAACATTAACTCCTCATCTTATGACATAGTCAAAGGTCACAAATGGCACAAAGTGAAGTCAGTTAGGAAAAAATGACTTTTAGGACTCACACGGTGAAGAAGCAGGGATCCATTCTCTCACCTCGGTAACAGGTCGATATGCACATGCAGTACGAATGCATGTTATAGTGGAGTAACTCTTCCAAAGAGTGATGTTAAACTCACACACCATACAAATCTTAGTCTAGTCACTCTCAAGCGTCTAACTCGAATTCTCTATTTGCTCGCCTCTCCGGCATCAAATGAGATCTCGTATTTGGCTATCCATAACAGGCACATCATGGAAAAGTGGGTACTCTCATATCCATTGTCAGTCTCTAACAAGACCTCATCTTGGCTCCAACCAAGGCGACATAGCTAGTGGATAATTTTAGCTTCTCTATTTGCTCCAAATACAATAAGCCACTAGTCTCATCCTTCCTCACTACCTAGCGCTAAGGGCGATTGCTCGTGTGAGTGAGCCAATCTTGCCTGTTAACATCAATTTATTTATTCTGTGTATGCTAATTCACAAACCATTATAAAAAGTAGTAAACATAAATGTGTAATAGAAACAAATATGAATACTAATGGCATAAATATCCCAAAAAATATGAGTTCAACTGAATACACATATATATATATCACCACCTATGTAGTCCTAAAGCCCTAACATGAGTAAGATAAACATCTCTAGCAATGGGCTTAGTCAAAGGGTCTGCAACCATGCGACTCGTAGAGATGTGCTCTAGGATCACTTCTTTCTGCGCCACAATGTCTCTGATAAAGTTGAACCTCACATCAATGTGTTTGGTTCTCCCGTAGTACTTAGGATTCTTAGCGTAAGAAAGTGAAACCATGCTGTCACAATGGATAGTCACAGGGTCTGAAGTGTGTGTGACAATATCCAAATGCTGAACGAATCTCCTCAACCAAACGGCTTCTTGAACGGCAGATGAACAAGACATAAACTCAGCCTCCATAGTCGATAAGGCGATACGTGATTGCTTCTTACTACTCCAAGAAATAGCACCATCGCTAAACATGAAAGCATATCCTGAAGTAGACTTACGCTCATCTAAGTCTGCTCCCCAGTCAGCATCACAATAGCCAACTAGACGTAGATCTGAACTTTTGTAGCAAAGTGTGTAATCTGCAGTCCCTCTAAGATATTGTAATATCCTCTTAACTTCTTTCCAATGAGCTAGTCCTGGGTTGGATTGGTAATGACTTACCAATTCGATTGCATAACAAATGTCAGAGGGTGTACACATCATAGTATACATCAAGCTTCCAACAACATTTGCGTAGGGAACACGAGCCATCTTTTCATTATCCTCTGGAGTCTTAGGACCCATATCAAGGGTTAGGGTCTCACCTTTCGCAACAGGAGTTTCAATGGGTTTGCAGCTCTGCATCTGGAATTGGTCTAGGATAGTCTTAATGTAGTTCTCTTGAGACAAACCGAGAAGTCTCCTAGAGCGATCCCTAAGGATCTTAACACCGAGCACATAGCTTGCTTCAACCATGTCTTTCATCTCAATTGTAGAGAACAACCACCTTTTAGTGGCGACAATCATCTCCTTGTCATTTCCAGCCAATAATATGTCATCTAAATATAATGACAATATTAGAAAAATGTCCTTGGATCGCTTAACGTACACACAATGATCTTCATCGATCATCGTAAACCCATTAGAAACAATGGCTCGATGAAATCTCAATTCTACTGTCTAGATGATTGTTTTAAGCCATAAATAGATCGTTGAAGCTTGCAAACTTTGCGCTCCTGACCTACTACCACAAAGCCTTCTGGTTGATCCATATAGATCTCTTTATCCAATTCTCCATTGAGAAATGCAGTCTTAACGTCCATTTGATATAGCTCTAAGTCCAATTGAGCTACTATGGCCAAAATTAGGTGAATAGAGGCAAACCTCACAACTGGTGAAAAAGTTTCCTCATAGTCCACACTCTCTTGTTGGGTGTAACCTTTCGCCACTTGGCGAGCCTTACACCTTTCTATGGAACCATCCACCGTGCGCTTGATTTTGAGAATCCATTTGTTCCCAATAGTCTTGCACCTTGGTGGCAAAGAAACCAAGCCCCAGACATGATTTTTCTTCATAAACTCTATTTCTTCATCCATTGTAGCACTCCATTCTTTACTAGCAGGGGATGTGAGAGCTTCTTTCAGATTCTTAGGCTCCATCTCATCACTCAGAGCAATTATGAATGCTTCCCCTTTAATCTCAAAATGACGATGGGGTATAGCTCCATGTTTGCTTCTATGCAGTTGAGAATCCTCATCCATTGGATCTAATCCCTGGGAAGGTAGATTGCTCCCACTGTCCCTAGGAGCTTAAGGGATTATCTCCTCATTCTCTACTAGGCTACTAGGTGTGCCTTCAAGTAGATCCTCCATCTTATAGAGTTCTACATGTCTAGTTACCTCACATTTGCTAGGGAAATCCTCCTCTAGGAAATCCACATCTCGTGACTCAATTTCAATCACACTTCCATCCGGATGCCCCCAAATAAACACATAGCCCTTAGAATGCTCACTATAGCGAATGAAGATACACTTCTTTCCTCTAGGGCCCAACTTCCCAAACTTATGAGAAGCGTTGTGTATGTAAGCTGGCGAACCCCAAGGCCGCAAATTGCCCAAATCAGGCCTTTTGCCAATCCACATCTCATATGGGGTGGAAGGAATTGATTTGGAGGGCACACGGTTAAGGATGTAGGCAGCAGTCAACAAAGCATCTCCCCAATAAGAAATCGGAAGATTAGCTTACGCCATCATAGATCTAACCATGTCAAGCAATGTGCGATTCCTTCTCTCAGCTACACTATTTTGCTGCGGAGTCCCAGGAATTGTTAATTGCCTGATAACTCTTTTTTCCTCACAGAGCACTTTAAATTGCTCAAATAGATACTCGCATCCCCGATCAGTCCTTAGAGCCTTAATGCTTTTGTCTAATTGATTCTCAACCTCATTAACATATCGTCTAAAGCAATCCAATGCTTCTGACTTGTGAGAAATCAAATAGACATGGCCAAAATGCCTACAATCATCTATAAATGTAATGAAATAAGGGGCTCCATGCCTTGCCCTCACATTCATTGGTCCACATATATCAGAATGAATAAGTTATAATGGGATAGATGCCCTTTTGGTTTTCCCAAATGGTTTCCTTGTTGCCTTTCCAGCAAGACAGTGCTCACAAGTAGGCAAAGTGACTCTAGCAAGTGGGCCTAAAAGACTTTCTCTAGCCAATCTAGTCATCCTGTCTTGCCCTATGTGGCCTAATCTAGCATGTCATCTCATAGAATCATTATCACAAAAAGATGCAATATTAGAAACAGAGCCATCGGCATTTTTATTAAAACTAGAATCATCCACATCCAAAACTTAAAAACCATCTGAAAGATAACCAAAACCATA